CTGGCCTCGAACTCACAGAGATCCGCCTGGCTCTGCCTCCCGAGTGCTGGGATTAAAGGCGTGCGCCACCAACGCCCGGCTTTGTTTTTCTTTTTATTAATTGTGTGTGGGGGGGTGTTTCCCTTGTGAGACAAGGTCTCATTCTGTATCCAGGGTGGTCTTGAACTGCCTGCTTCTGTCTCCTGAGTGCTTTGATTTAAGTTGTATGCTACAATATCTAATTAAAATTGGTTCTTTCTTAAATTTATTATGTGTTTGAGTGTTTTATCTACATATATGTATGTATATCAAATGCATTATAGTGCCAGAAGAGGGCACTGGACTCCTTGGCACTGAGTTACAGATAGTCATGATCTGTCATGTGAGTGCTGGGAACTGAATCCAGGTCCTGTGCAAGAACAGCAAGTGTTCTTAAGTAAACCATCTCTCCAGCACTGAAAATGGTTCTTCATATACCCAAGGATAGAGCTAACCAAGAGCTAACCCAGCATTACTCACTTGGAGAACTGATAATAGATGCTGAAATGATGCTATCATTTTAAAGACTACCCTTTGCCCTCCTCCAGGGATGACATCAGGCCTGTCCATATGACTTGCTTTAGTGGATAAAATTGGATTGAAGTGGCATGTGTCATCTTCAAAGGGAAGCCTTAAGAAACAGATCCTGATTCATTATGGCTCTTCTTCCTTGAAGAGTCTTCCGTGCCATGAGACTAGCCATGCCCCAAACAGAGACTTGGCCTGGTATGAAGATAACATGGAACAGAGCCACAACTGATGAATGATGAACAGACAGCGATGACAGCAACAAACATTTCTTCTATGTCAGTGAGGCTCAATTGCTACGACAGCACAATTTAACCCACAATAACAGAAAGGTCATGACAGCAGCAACCTTGTATACATTCTTTCCCTTGGCAGTAGAGGCATGAACTTCTTTAGAAGGTGGCTGCTAGAAACCTGGTAGTTAGGGAGGTAGTCGAGAGGCGGGGGGTGAGGTGGGGTAGGGGAATCAAATTGGATAGTGTGGCTTAATGGCTTCCAAGAGAAGTTTGTGCTAAGGGAAGTCATGAAGTTTTCTAATCTGGCACAAAATATAACTAAGTATAAGTCCACAATAATGCCCACTCACCTAGGTGTCTGTGTAAAGCAATTCAGAGCCTAAACACTCTAAATTTTTTAAAAAAGAATATCTTTTACTATCTGACAATTTCATACTTATTCAAACTTGTTCATATCCATCTTAACTCCCCAACCCCCCCCATTCCCAACACGTTCCCCTCTCTCATATTCTCCCCATTTTTCTTTGGTAACCCACAAATATTGTAAATTCTGGTAGCTCTATTAATTACTGCATCAGGGTATGTACCCTTTCTCTTCAATAAAAGCTTCCTTAAGATCTACCTTCGAGGGGTTGGGGATTCAGCTCAGTGGTAGAGCGCTTGCCTAGCAAGCACAAGGCCCTGGGTTCGGTCCTCAGCTCTGGAAAATTTAAAAAAAAAAAAAAAAAAAAAAAGATCTACCTTTGTGACCAGGGATCACAGGTTCCTTTTTTGTTGTTTTGTTTTGTTTCTGTTCCTTTCAACTGTCAAGAAGACAAGATTCTGAGGGGAAATGTATTCAAACACTGCTAGTCCAGAAAGTATTTCTATGATCATGAATACAGGCTTAGACCATGGCCTGCATGGTATGAAGGCAAATTTAAACAGACACCCTTTGGTGAAACCTCACCAATGTCTAAAATGTAGGCATTACATAGCCGCCAAATCTAAGATTTTTCTGGCCTTGCAAATAGCTGTTTACTCAGAATTTAGCCTCAAAACCAAAGGCTTAGAAGAAAAGGGTGTGTGAGGCTGAAATTAGTTGGCAATAGAGTCAGAGAAACTTCTCTTATTCTTGTTCTGGCCAAAATACATAGCAGGATCAATGGTCTGCTGTGGAATAGCTGAGTGCTTAAAGCTGATGGGTATGGGCATAATAGTAGCAGTTCTCAGCTATGGATACTTTACAAAAATTGTTAAATTCACATTTCTATGGGTTAAAACAGTTTAAATATACTCTTTGGCTAATTTATACTGATGCTGAGAGAACCTTTTAAATAAACACTATATTAGACAGATGACTCAGTTTGGACACGAAATACTCCTTTTGGGCTCATATGTTAAATATTTGGTTCCTAGATTGAGGCAGTTATGTTGGGAGGTTGTGGAAACTTTAGCAGGAAGGACCTACCTACAAAAAGTAGTTACTGAGGGTAGACTCTAGGTGAGTACCCAGTCCCTGCTTTTCCGCTTTTCTCTCTGCTTCCAGACCACTATGAGTGAGTAGTCTCTGTTGCATGCCCTTGCTGCCGTAATGTTCTGCTTTACCAAGGGCACAGAATCAACAGCCAAGGATTCTAGATTGAAATCTATGAAACTGTGAACTAAAACAAATCTTTCCCTATCTTAAGTGGTTCTCTCAAGTATTTGGTCAGTTATGCACAAAAGTGACTAAAACACTAGTTAGTGCTCAAGGTAAGTTAAACAGGCAGTTTAGAAAATACATGCAAACTTTCAAGGATATAATTAATATATAAATATTATTTTTGGTTAGGTCTTAAAATTTACTTCATACTTTTAAAGTTTCAATTTCAGAAAATACGATTGTCAAAACCCAACAAAAATGTTATCATTTTTAAAGTAATAAAATATTAAATTTCTATGAATTCGCTCTCTTGTCAACTCAGTTTTTGTTTCATTTGTGTATGATATATCTGTTATATTCTTTCATTCTTTATAATGTAGACAAACACAATGTCTTCTTAAAATAACCTAAGTTACCAAGGCTAGACTTTTACATGTCTTGGCAGCTTAGCTTGGCTTGGCCTAAGTACAACCATGGCTGACATAGGAGGTCATGGTTTCCAGAAGAGCTGTAACACTTTGCAGACCTCTTCATCTCTCTTTTATCCATACCCTAAGATCTATTTGTCCTTAAAGAGTGATCACATTCATTACATACCGTATTATATACTCCTTTCTCTTCAACAGATGAGTATTTCTTACTCATCTGTTATTGTGTAGGTACTGTCCTTCAATTATGTCAAATGTATATGAGTTATCTCCACTACATAAGCTGATAAATCAAGATGTTGCATATTAATGTGAGGATATGCAGATTATGCATTAGACTGATGGCTATCAATACTGAAATAAGAAGCTATTGATATAATATATCAATCAGTATAAAAATAATAGTAGGAACATACTTTAGAAACGATGTGGATAGTCAGGAGTGGTGGCACACACTTGAGGAGAGGCAGAGACATTAGATCACTGAGTTCAAGGCTAGCCAGGACTACATAGGGAGACCCTGTCTCAAAATATGAAAAAGAAAAAAAAAAAAACATGTGGGCATGCATTCTATAACTGAGTGTAATAACCATCTCACTTACTCTTCTCTTGATTCTTTTTGTTATATATTCTGTTCATATTTACGGTTTCTTTCCTTTAAAAAAAGTCAAGAAGACTGTCTTAAATTCTCCTACTCCCTGACTATATTGCTATATTACCTGAACAAATATTTGAGAGTATACTCTTAAAACTAAAAAATATTCAATAACCAGAGGGTTAAAGAGAAGAGAGGCAAGAAGAAACAAGACATTTCAAGGACAAATAAATACATTTACAAATATGTATTCATAATTATATAAGTAACCTTGTATCAAGTACTCTAATTTCCAAGATTATTTCAAGTGAAGCAATTTAAGGTATTTGAAAATAAATAATTAACAAGAAAAAATGAAAAGGGGTCTTACGGTGATGATTCCAGAACTATGCTATTAGCTTGTGTTGATGATGGAGATCTCTGATTTACAAAACCATCACTGGGGGATGTGTGAACCACATGGTCTACCAAATGACCAACTGAAGACGGCCGGACCCGGGTCCCCTCTTGTGTGAATGCAGAATTCCGACTAAATGAAGAGAAACAAAGGCTAAACAAAAGTATACTTTAATTTGAGTTTTCCATGGTTTTTGATTATATAGTTTCATGAGAAAGTGGGTATATGTTTGTGTGTGTTTTAAAGACTTGTTGAAAACAGTGATATAAACGCTATGATATAAACAGAAAGAACACAAAATCAAGACATAACTGCAGTCTACAATCTGCTATAAGGCCTTATACTTCACTATTTTCTCTACCTAGTGTTACTGGGTTTTAGTCACTATTAATCTGATGCCTTATTCAACATTTATGAAACTGACTAGAATAAATGTTCAAAGTAGATTCTAGACTCAATTATTCTTTCTTCTTGATGTTTTTAATTTGTGGAATTTGAATTCCTATGACTAGATGATGAAGAACCCCACTATCCTAACTGGCAGTTACATAAATATCATCGTTTTAATTATTAATTGCAATAGTTAATAACAGCATTTTTCTAAGTATCTTTCATTTGCTGTCATTTAATTCCATATTAAGACTGTAGGACACTTACTATATAACAAGGATGCTAGGATTAAAGGCATGTGCCATTGTGTCCTTCTACAAATAGGATTTTGCAGATGAGAAAAACGGGATGGAAATCAACTTCAAGATTTAAATATTGACTCTAGAGCCACTGCTTAATCACCGTGCTATACTGTCTTTTTTCCAGATCATCCTTAAAATTATTTAATTTCGGGGATTTAGCTCAGTGGTAGAGTGCTTGCCTAGCGCAAGGCCCTGGGTTCGGTCCTCAGCTCCGGGAAAAAAAAAAAAAAAAAAAAAGAAAAAGAAAAAGAAAAAAAAATCTTTAAAAAAGATCTTTTAAAAAAACAATGATTTCGTTTCCTAGAGAACTTCATCAGAGCTCCTGTTATTATTTAGCTCATCCCTCTTACACTCCTTCCCCCCTTCCCTAGCCTTGTTCTCTGCCCTTCCCCTCCCTCCCTCTTCTAACACAGGCTACCTGAGGAGGTCTTCCCTTTCTTCTTCTTAGCTATACCCAAACCTGGCAGCTTTGTGAGAAATGCTGGACTGCAGTACACACATGGTTAGAGCTGCACCTCACCATTCTTGACCCAGCTCTACTTGAGCTTATGGGGCTACGGTCAGAAATCTTTTCCTAGGCCACAGGAAGTGCTAGAGCACTGAATAACAATCACTCAGACAAAGCATTTTCAAACAATTTATACCCCTTTAGAAATCCTGGTGGAGCCAGGTGGTGGCAGCACAGGCCTTTAATCCCACCACTTGGGAGGCAGAGGAAGGAGGATCTCTGTGAGTTCAAGGTCAGCCTGATCAACATAGGGAATTCCTGGACAGCCAGGGCTATTAACACAGAGAAACCACATCTCAAAAAACAAAACAAAATCCAGATGGAGATCTACATGGAAATGGACAGTTTCATAGAACAGTTCTATGAAATTTTAAAGTCATGACTAAATCCTTAATTACCCTTCCTGTGAAAGCCAACTGCTAAGGAAAGTAAAGGTTGTCCTTCAATCTATTCGTTCATTCCCTAAAGCTATTATTGTAGGCCACCTTAACAGTAAGCAGCAAGCAAAGAGGAATAATGCTTTGAAGTAATACCAATCATGTTTGGGTCTGGTGAGGGAGCTAACCAAGTAAAGGCATCTGCCACCCAACCTGAATACATGATTTCAATCCTAGGGACCCATAGAGTGGAAGAATTGACTCCCCTAAGTTGTCTTCTACTCTCTATATGCCCACTATTACATACACGCATATGCCCTCACACACACACACACACACACACACACACACACACACACACACACACACACACACAAATACAATAAAACTATTTTTTTGAAAATTTGATCAAAGGATTTAAATTTTTATATATTATAATCTTAAGGCAATAAAATATGTAGCCAATAACTTAGAAGCAAAATGCAAGCATGATGCTGGTTTGCACTTACTGATTGGGAGTTCCAGGTGGAGATCGGGATGGGAGGCTTTGTGTTTCTAACCTGTCATCAGATAATGAATTTCTGCTAACTACTTCCCAATCCATTAATTTCCGTGCCAAAGGCTTACTTGGAGATCTGTAGAAAAATTTGAATAATACATAGAAAAGGTTTGTTTTTATATAACATGTGCCTATGAGTCAAATCTTAAAACTTATTTTAATAGATCATATTCAAAGGGTTTGCTTATAAGAAATTCATTGTTTTGATAGTATTTTTCAAATAATTTCAAACAGGATATATTTGCTTTATATGACCAAAAAAAGGTGGGGTTATAAAGAATAAGAGAACAAGGAATATTAAAAAAAGAAATAAAGAAAAGCAAAGGAGAAGTTTGCTACCAAACATTTTCTCGAATTCCAAAGTTATAGATCTTTGCTTATGTCTATTCTGTAGTACTCAGAGTGCTGTTTATTGTGAGGTGTACTGAACAAGTCTCACCACATTATCTTCTCAATGACTTTTAATTCTGAACCTCTGCCTCAGTGAGGGAAGGGCCAAAAATGATAATCATACATACTGTGTCTATAATTTTTCTCTTTTATGTAGAGTATGGACAGTGAATTTCTTTCCCTTTCTTTTTATAAAAACATTTTAAAACTACTATATCTTGTGGTGGGTAACAAAAAGATGTTTTTAAAAGATTTTTTCTATTTTTGGTTATGTGTATGTGTGCATGCATGTCAGTGTGGGTGCCTGCAGAGGTGAGAAGAAGGTATCAAATCTCCTGGAACTGGAGGAATTCTGGGAAATAAACTTTAGTCCTCTGCAAGAGCAGCAATGGTTCCCATTCACTGAGTGAACTCCCCAACACAAAAGGATATGTTTTATTATCTATTGTCAGCTATCACAGTAATAAAACAGAATTAAGTGACTGCCAAGAAATAAAGATGCTAATCTCCACAGAGCAAATGGTATAACTGTATTCAGAGACATAAATCCTTAGAATTTTAGGAATAACAAAAGTTTTTAATATGCAAATTCAAGTACTACTCAAAACTCTTCTACATAAATGTGTACTTTTTTGATATGTAGAATTATTGTGAAAATTAATTATATGAATTAAGTGACTTAAATCACCCAATATGACTTTTAATCTCAGTAATAAATTAAAGACCCATAAAAGTCATGTATGTTATTTTGTTGCATCACAATAAAACAAACAGATACCATCACACTACTGCAAAATTCAATCCTAAAGGTTGAAATGGAAACACTGCTAGCAGGGCTGCCACGCCCAGGAACTGAAAGTGGTCGTGACGGCAGCACACACCAGGGCTGTGCCAGCCCTAGGCAGACCCAACCCCGCTCCAGCGGAGCAGCTACTGGCAGTTCTTGGCTGCCAGGAGAGGAAGGATCAGTTTCCTCTAACAGTGTAGAAGCTGATAAGTCTACCAAGAATATTTGGGACAGCACAAATTGGTCTTGATGAAGAAAACAAAACCATGACAAACACAAAGTTGGAGGGGAAAGGAAGTAAGGTGTGGGTCTAGGAAGAGCTGGGTGAAAGAAGGTGAACAAATCAAAATACATTATACAAAATTCAAAAAGAACTTATAAAAACATATATTAAAAGGCAACCAACTTTTTTCAGTGTTGGCCCATTCTATTCAAAGATCTTCATTTGAGACTGGGTGGTGGTGGTGGTGGTGGTGGTGGTGGTGGTGGTGGTGGTGGTGGTGGTGGTGGCACACGCCTTTAATCCCAGCAGGCATAGGGAGGCAGAGGCAGGTTGATCTCTCTGAGTTCAAGGCCAGCCTGGGCTACAGAGCGAGTTCCAGGACAGGATCCAAAGCTATACAGAGAATCCCCATCTCAAAAAAAAAAAAAAACAAAACAAAAAAAAAAAAACAAACAAACAAAAAAACAAAACAAAAACCAAAAAACTTCATTCTATGAATTTTATTTTCAGATTTTTTCCAATAATAATAAAGACTGTACTTAGTACTATATGTACTTTTTAGATTACTGAAAGTTTTTTGCCTTAAAAATTGTCGGTAATTTTCCCTCTTGTCATGTACTATGTACATACTTTTATATAAATTAAGAAAAAATATCAGACAAGGCACAAAATAAATGCAAATTTAAGTAATCCAAATACATCCAAACATAAGATCATTCAAATTCATTTACTGTGTTTAAATTTGCAGTTGTAGCCTAAAATTTCCTTTGTGACACATTAACTACACAAACAGAATGGCCTGAGAGAATAGCAATGCTCAGCAAAGGGTATTCCACGGTGGTTTAGGTCCACAGCAGGAAATATTAAAATAAACATGCCTACTAGATACACTGAATGCTAATTCTGGCCTATTCTAGAAAAATTACTTAAGTTTCTATACTCAATATCTAAGTTCATTAGTGCAATAAAGTCTTTACGTCCTTCCTTATCACTTCAATTCTATGACTTAACAGTATAGTTTTCAGTGCAATGTTTTAGTGTCTTAAAGGTTTGTTAAGTTATGAATAATAAATACTTAAAATCTAAATCATACAAGTATCCTATCATTTCAGTATCTCATAGCCAAACACTCTTGGTTTGGTCTAATCTCTTCTAACTCTAAAACCAATGGGCATGTTCTAAAAGAGACGTAGTGTTACTGGTAAAACAAAGAAACCAACCAACAAACAAACAAATAAACAAAAATATGGACTCAAATTTCATTTTCCAAAGGTAAAGTCAAAGTAATTTAACCACAGATACTTCTTCCTATCATTATGAGTTTAAGTCACAGGACTTCTTGACTTGAACTCAGGACACCAGTTGACACAGTCTCTCACAATGGAGGTGTCACACATATTTCAGTTAGTCACACAAATGACAATATTATATAATGTCTTCAATTTAAAAAATAAAATCTTAAACTTACCATAATTTACCACCTTTAGTTCTCTTAGTGATAATATTTAATATTTACAAACTATTCTTTCCTCATATAATAAATAGACTAAATGTAAGCTATGAGAGCCAATGAAGATAAATTAACTAAGAGACGGGGAAAAAATCATTTGAAAATCCAGCATACTTACCTAGTACAAACTGTCTGAACACTTTATTCTTGGTAACGAACTAAACATGTTTGGAAATGTCTAGAGTTTAAAACTAAATTTCAGGCATTTTAATTTATTAACAGTTTTAACCTCAGAGACCCACCCACTCAAGTTTGCTGTCTATGTTTCCTGTTCTGTTCGGAAATTTCAGAGAAAAAAATACCACACTGTTAGCAATGTGGTTGAGTTTATTTTTTGACCATGGCACCTTATTTTTCTGTTGAACAGAACCTTATTTTCCTCTCTTCCTCAGATAATATTATGTGATAACTGAAAAGTGTGAAAGCAATTCAAAGAGTTAATATATAAGGGAGAAATGGGGGATAATTATTGGTAAAATTTTTCATGTAAAATTTAAAGATCTTTTTTAACTTTCTATTTATACTGCCATCTAAAATTCTGAGAGACAAGAAATCTGGAATTCTTAACCAAAATAACTTAACACTTTGTAAGACCATTAGAGAATTGTAGTAGCTCTGTATGAGGGAAGAGTCTTACATAGAACAATCTCAGGAAATATAGTCTTAAAGAGAGGGAGCAATCATTAGGAGAGTCTAGCACTATTGAAACTGCTCCCCAGGACGAGATCATATGGATCCAAGTAGAACTCTTGCCTAGCATACTTAAGACCCTGGATTTGGTAACCTAGCACCTTTAAAAAGCAACACCTACGCCCCATACACACACACACACACACACACACACACACACACCAACAAACAAAGACAGGTATATATATAAACTTTGTACCATTTAATAATGAATATACAAAACAATGAAGATGAAGGCATATCTGCATATTTCTAAAATCTAGTATGTTAAAAACATTTAAAATAACACAATAATTTGATTTCTAGACATAGGGGAGTACTACAAATAAGAGGCAGTATAAAAAGCCAGAACAAATTCTTTCTAAATTGAAATTATTATTTTGACAAGTGTTAACAAGAAGTAAATTATTTTTATGGACAAATGTACAGGAAACATTTTTAGGGGGCAGATTTCAACACAGGGTTCCCCTGTGTTGTTTTGGTGCCTGTCCTGCATCTCGCTCTGTAGACCAGGCTGGCCTCGAAACACAGAGATCCACCCAGCTCTGCCCCCCCCAATCTCCCCCCCCCCCAATGCTGGGATTAAAAGCCTGTGCCACCACTGCCCAGCCAGAAAACATTTTAATAACAACATTTATTAAGGAAATCCTCTTTTTCCAGGTCTATACAACTTTCTAATTGGAGCAGTGGTGTTCAAGATAATCACAACTCACGCACGCACGCACGCACGCACGCACGCACGCACGCACTCTTGAGTGTATGCAAGGAAAAATCTTGACTAATACCACAAAGTTTGTAGGGCTGTCTTGGATGATTTATTCTTCAAGTCACTTGATACTGTTGGGTCTTTAGAATATAATGAATTGTCACCCATTGCTAGAAACAGGGAGCAATTTTTACTTTGGAAGGAATGAAAAGAGAAAAAGCAAAGCCAAACATAAAATTATTTCTTCTAGAAACACAAAGCTGGAAGGACTTTTGGATAGATATTTAGAATAAAATTTTGACTAAGTAAAATTCTTTTGTTGTCTTTATGAAAGCTTCCAAGTCTCTAGTAGCAGTAGATGCCAGACATAGAACTCTTCAGAGCTTTCTGCTCTTGAAGTAATTTCCATTAGGAACAAAGACCTGTTTTATTGCACCTCGGTCAGCAGCTGATGCTAGTTCCCTCAAATTTGTTCCCTATCCTCCATTACTGTTGAGTAAAGGTCTTTATTATTCTTACTTGGATAACTGTAATCATCTCCTAATTAGTCACTAGGTATCCAATCTACATTTTACTAACACATTCTCTATCTTGAACTACTTTTCTGAAATGTAAATTTGATTGTATCATTTTTATCACTAAAAAGCAAACTGGCCCTAACAAATTTTAATGAAAAGAAGATAATTTTTTTTAAAGGCAAATCAAGAGCAACTTGTCTTTTAATAGCATGATTTAAATAAATATAGAAATGGGCTGGATAATAGGACTCAGTACATTTCTCAAAAAATATGTAACAGGAGAATAAGTTTTCAATAAAAGGTTGTATTAGCAATACTTGATTTGGCCTATTAAAACCTATTGTACTCAATGCATGATTAAGGTTTATAAATATGGAACAAAAAAGAATCAGGATACTAGACAAACTAGTTTCCATTTCATAAACGCAGTGTACTGTGTACTTAGCAGATCATTTAGAAAGTGTTTCTAGAGCCGGGTGGTGGTGGCGCACGCCTTTAATCCCAGCACTCGGGAGGCAGAGCCAGGCAGATCTCTGTGAGTTCGAGGCCAGCCTGGTCTCCAAAGCG